ATCCAAGTAGTTTTTTTTTTTAAATCCATCTTCATTTATATGAAATACCAAAATGTAATTAATGTATCAGTTGACTTATAAATAGCAATATTTTTACATGGGGTCTCCAATAATATACCCCTGTTTTCAAAAACTTAGATCCGACGACCGGCACTAGTACAGATTACAATAATGATATTATAATATATGACCAAGCCTTCGAAGGAATCAGTAGTTGTAGTTAATTAATACATCGCAGACTGAGTTGTCTTTACAAGACGAACGATAGTTTCCTGTTTTGGGTCACACGAGGTAATAATAATATTATAATATTATGGAACTCTTCGCGAAATGTTATGTTTGCACGTATACATTATGCAACAATAATCGTCTAATTATAAGGAAAAAATACAAAAGTTTAAAAATAAAATAATTATATTACTTATCATACTATATTTGCTACATCGTAAACTCTTACACGCATTATAGTGTTTTATGTGTAGCAGTCTTCGTATTGGCGTTGCTACAAAGATAATAACGATGTTTATGAACCCGATGTTTACGTTCGTCGTATATACACGTAGCTGCAGTGTTATACTCCATAAATATATTATGCGACTGACATGATGCTATAAAACGTCTTACCTATTATAATTATTGTCACTCGAGAAAAATTTAAAAACTCTGTCATTGCGGGGAAATAAAAATCGCGTTTTGCATGCCAAAAACCCGCCGAGAGTAATCGTCCGAATCTATGAGAGAAAATGAAAAAAAAAACGCATATCCGAGAATCGGAATTTACACGTGTGGAGGGACTTTTCTTAACGTCTTTTTACGTGTTTTCGGACGAATGCATATAAAATTAAAACAACGACGACTGCGAGTACGCCGAGTAATTTATATGCGAACGTTTTTCACGTCTGTTGGACTGCAAAAAAACTTAAACGTCAACGAGGGAAGGGTGCGGTGTTGTAGAATGGAGTAAAAAGTCCGCTGGCGCTTATCGGATGGTTTCGATCGAGAACTGACTTTTCCACTGAAGTCCGTATAAATTTGCGTGCTTCAACGTGCCGGAGCAACAGGCGTTTTCACAAACAAAACGGGCATTTGACAAAACGAGTATTTTCTTTGACATATTATTATCATATACTTTTCCTGTCGACGTTTTTCTTGCCACCGACGACGATAATGCACATCAAACCAATAAAATATGCAAGACTTCTTCTTCTACTCATGTGCTGATGATAGTTTTTCGCTTCTGGTCGTATAACATTATATATTATATGATGCTCTTCTATATTATGTGTTTAATAGTTGCGAGTTCGTCGGATTATTCTCGTGAGCGGAAGTATAATATTTTACGACCCACAAGGGGCATTATTATAATATAAGTATGAATAAAATCGTTTTTCCACCTACCGATTTCACAGACTCTGCCAAAGTCTCTCGGCCGATATTCTATTTCTACGACGTATATTATTGTACACGTGTATTATATTATATTTTATAAACGCGCGACGACAACCCGACGGTGGTTAAAATAATCTCGTAGAGTTTTTACGACTATTGCATCGTCATATGGAATGTTAAGATACAGGGTGATTCATCATGTTTGCAAGCATACTCACCCTCTTTTTCTTCAATAACGCTGCAGTTATTCAAAATCTGATTTTTGGAATTATTTATTATTAATTATTATTATTCTTATAAAGACCATAATATTTTCAGATTCTTCAGAAATTATTTAGTGGATAATTTTTTTTTTTTTTGAAAATATTATTGTACCGAAATCTAAATTTGAACGTGTAGATTTCGAGCTACTTGATTTGTGTATTAAGGACCGTAAATCCATGGTAATGGGTATGGAAAATTTGGGGGCTATAGTGATATTTTTGTGATACCATTTTTAAAGTTTAGTATAAACACTTGAATAACTATAAGAATCTAATTATTTGAGTTTTGAATAAAGGTAAATAAACACTTTCAAAAAAAAAATCAACTACCTAAATAATTTACAGTAAAAAAGAGGCGGGTTCTCGTTTGAAAATTGAAACTGCTGAAGGTTCATTTCGATATATTATGCGTTAAGAAGGTAGGTTGGATGGCCATACCGTTGTAAATGGTCATTTTAAAAAGATGAATGAATAGTATTTGTGGCATAGGAACTCGTTGGAAATCGTAGGCAGAGGATAGTGCACGTCAATGAAAATTCGTCGAGTCATTAAAATACTATTACATCTCATCGTGGTTACCTTGGTTCGAAGACTCGTGCAGCCTCGGGTCACTGTAACCGCTGCGGACGCTCGACCTGCTGTCACTGAGATGTTGACCGTGCTGGGCTCCAACGGCCGCGGCCACCAGCGCCTTTTTGCGGATCGACCGGCCACCGCTGGTGCGGGCACTCTGCGACCGTACAGCCGGCCGACGGCGCTTGTTGTCCTCGGCGGCCGCTATGGCGGCCGCGCCTCCTACGTGCCTATGCGGTGGAGGTGTGGACGCGGCTGCCTTAGCGCAGGCCAACAGGTATTCGGTGCTACCTGGTGGGAAGCCGAATGCGCATATGGACGCCGACCGGGCCTTGTTGTACAGCAGACCGTTTTCTTCGGCCGCCATCTTTGTCGTCAGGAGTCCTCGTCGTCGTCGTCAGCAGACCTCCTCGTCTTAGTGTGTGAGATGGCAGTTTTCTGCGAAAGAGAATATAATACCTAGGTTAGACTACATACCTACTTAGTAATACACGTGTTTGAGGTGCATATTTCCAGCTCCTTGACAAACAAAAATAACTTAGTTCACCGATATTGGACATCCACTAGCAGCGGAAGGCAATAAATAGTAGGGTTGGGATTTCTAAGCAGTTACATACCTACTTTTTTCCTTGAGTCTAAATTTATAGGTTGCCAGATATGTCCGTGATTTGGATAATCTTCGACTAAATGGAACAACTTTTTTCCCGAAATCTTAGAATATTTTTAACATTATGAGTATAATATTTTCATAGTTAAATTTTTGAACATTTTTTAAATTTTAAATTTTAAATGATATTTTGTTATTGAACATTTATAATTATTGGGTTATTTAATCCATTTAACTATCGAAGATTTACCATCTAATATTATCTAGGTCAGATGACCGATGTAATTGCCTTTACATTATTTTTGTTAATCATTAGTACGATAAATTAGACCTTTGTTGGCGAATTGATCAATAAAAAAAATTGAAAGAACATATTATATCATTGCGTTAATAATGCAATATTCAATTTAATAATAATTCGGTATAAATAATAATTAACGAGTAGTTTCTGTTTCAATTAGTTCCTGATTTTGATGTAACAAATATTAATTTATAAAACTGCTGGTAATCAAAATGAATATTTTACAATTCTGTATTGCATATCAATCCTAGGCCTAGAAATAAGTAATAGTTACTCATTTTACTTACCCATAACCAATAGCAATCAGAAAATATCTTTCGGTTTTAATAATATTGATATCGATCAAGTCATAGTAAAATAAGCGGTTCAGTGGCTCAATTTATTATCTAAAGCAAAACCTATCTGCCTTCTTTGAGTCGTCAATATTTTTAGTATTTTTGTAATTATATTTGTAAGTACTTTTTTGCTCTTTTTGAGCATCATCCAAAAACTTTGCCTTTTATACAGTTTAATAGCTGTTACCCATGGCTGTTACCCCTTCTAATATATTCTAATATACATTACTACTTGTCCCCGCTATCCTAATTTCTGTTCAACATTTGATGTAAAATTGTCAAGAACTGTGCATTTGGAAATGTGTAATTTACATACAACCCAACTAATAATATGTATGTATTAGTTGACTATCTATCATAATCCATCCATCTATTCATCGCCTCCGTTTTACTTCAGATGATATATTTTCAATTGTTTTTTGTCAACATCGGTCGTGTATTTTTTTAGTATTATATAAACCTTAACCATGTACTTTTACTCTGATATCATATTATAATAGGTGTCACTCAATTTTACATTCATATGAAATTGATTCATCAGTCTAAATAACAAAATATAACACAATACAGACAAATATATCTAATTAAAATAACTATTTTATTATTTGTAACCAATATTAACCATATACTTGAACAAAAACATATTCAGTTTTCGTGAGCTGAAACAAAATTCATGGGTAAGCTTGTAACCTATATACTGACCTATATGGGTCGAGAAACGTAACTTTTCCTGAGTCTCAAGAATCTATTGATATTACTTTTATTGAAAATAGTCCGGTATATTTGGAGCCCATGGAGCTTATGGAGGACACAGAAAGAAACATTCATTTGTATATTTATGGATGTGTTGTTTATAGAATGTGAATAAAGAAGTTAGGAAAACTCACTCTTCGACCGTAAAAAAACTCCATGTTGCTAAATGTCGTATTTGAATACAGAGCAATAAAATCCCAAGCATAATTTAAAAATAATTTGATAATCTATATGTTTTGGTGTATATTCCTTTATATGAGCTAGTATAAATCTGTATTAAATTCTCATATTTTGACATTTTTTAACACTGGCTAGTATGAATTTATTTTGAATAGAACCGTTATTAAATCATATTACAAACGATTGTCACTATGTACAGTAACTATGGATATATGGATAAGTAAATTAGTAAATGATTATCTTTATATCAACGACCGTAACTATAATATTATGTACTTAATAGTTACTAAGGGATGGAAACAACGGGGATAAGAGGGGTTCTAAACTTAGGTTTAGAAACCTAAAATGAATGTTTCTTTGTTTATCCTATTTAGTACCAAAAACTACAGGACTGTTTTCTGTTTAAAAGTGGTATAAATAGATTCCCTGAGACTTGGACTTTGGAGGGTATCATTAAAGCTTATTATTTGTCAACCAATATAGGTTGCTTATAGGGTGGCTTACACATGAATTTAGTGTTGGGCGTTGGCTCACGAAAATCTAATAAATGTTCTGTTTATTTTTAAGGTTGACACCGGATACAGAAATACAATTTTTATAGACTAGACGACCCACCATGAGCTGCTATTGACTTTTTTTTTTTTAAATAAAATAATATTTAATTAATAATTTGTCATTGAAATATACATAAATGTTTGTGTGTTTGCAGCTTATGAGCACAAAAATTACAAGACCAATCTTAACAAAAATGTTCAGAAAGTATTTTTAGACACATCAGAAAAGTTTAGACAGTAGTTTGGATCACATTTGAAAGTAAATAATATGCAATCCACCTTAGGTGAATAAATTACAAATATCAGTGTGATCATAACGCCGTATTGTGTGTTCGTTTATTTTTTCGAGGTTGAAGTCTGGTTATATAGCTAATACATTATAATATGGAATAATATTATATTCTAAAACAAACTTGCAGGTCCGGAAAAAAAATTGAATTGAGAAATTGTTGCTCGATGATACCAAAAATGATTGATTTTCTATAATTATTTAGGGTTATTCGGAAGTTCCATCTGCTTATTTGTTCATTATACTTTTCATTTATATAATACTAGCTGTATGGTAACCTTGCATGGATTACAATTAATCTATATCTTTTTATCGTTTTCCGTTTTTCATCAGTTTAAATATATAATACAAACCCTCATTAACACAATTATAATATTATATATTATATAATTATACAATAATTATATTATTACAATTATATAATTAGTTTCTTGAATTATAATTTGGCATTACGAAACCTTTATTCTTGACATCATTTTGATCTAAATAAAAAACAGTGGAACCGACTCAATGAATACTCAATATTGTCGATCTATGTTTATGTGTTTACATAAAAAATATGATCAGGATTAAAAAGTTGCAAATCAGAAAAGTAATCATTGTAATTATGATGTTCATGAATATTTAATTTTAATATTTGACAATACTACTGTTTACAATCTCTATATTTTATTAAATTAAATAAAACTATCATATCGCTAAGTGTACTAGTAGCATTTAAACCAATATTAATTTTTAAATTATCCAATAAAGTTTGACCCACATTCATAAATTGAGGCAAGTGAATATTTTCATAAATTATTGATTTTATGTTTATTTAAACATGGTATTTGTAAACAGTAATACACATTTATAATCAATACTTTTTGAAAATATTTACTTTTCACAATTTATAAATACAAGTAATGTTATTAAATACCGGCGGCTGTTTATTTATTGAACTATTCAATTTTAATTAAATATTTTTTTAAAATTTAATTTCATTTAAACCAATAGAAAACATTTACTGTTTTTGCAAAAATATATTTAATTTCCGTTCACCAAGACAAAATCCCTCCTATGAGCCCATCTTTAAAATACGAACTTTTAAAAATGCTTTCTTTTAGTGTATGGAGATGATAATGAAAATGTCAAGTCTCTAATTATCATAGTTTTGGCTCTACATTGATAAGTCAGTCGTGGCATTTTCTTTTATATACACAGAATATATAATAGGTAGTTAGCTATTATAGTAATCACTTATAATAAGGGAAACTTCAGAATGTACGATGTGTCATTAAATTATGTAAATGCATTGTGTGATATTAATTTTGATTTAATAGTCAACACTGTCTTCGTCACCTCCCCCCCCTCACACACACACACACACATGCCATATGTATTAGCTCCATCGTCGTAACTCGAAGATGTACATTTTCGGATCTCAATTTTATACTCGTCATTATTAAACAATATCCAAATATCTCAACACTATTTTTTTTTTTTTTTTTTTTTTTTTTTTTTTTTTTAGAATGTTGTTTTGTTTGACTTTTTTTTTTTTTTTTTTTTTTAAATTGATCCTGAGCCCGGCCCAAACACTATTATATTATTTATAAACTATGTAATTTGATCAACTCGACATAGTTATTGAGTTTTTATTCCTTCGCTGGACGTCAGGCGTCAATAATTTTATTGCGTTTTTTTTTTTTGGGACTCGAGATTATAAGTTATAAAAAAATATTATCATAGATAAATAATATTATAATCGTTTTTTATGGGTTGAATATTTTATGTAGGTAGATGGTTTTGCGGAGAGTGAAATAGTCAATATGTTTGAAAATAGAAACGGTCTCGCTGCCGGGGATAAAGAATTGATGTTTCGAATTTGTCTAACAGCCGTTTAAGGACGTCGTAAAATATATATATATATATATGGACCACTGAAAAATATTGTAACGTGTGACGTATTGCGATCAATTATCGTGCATAGTATAGTGTATACGATGTTCGCCTTGACGGATAATAAATTCCAAAAAAAAGCAATAAAACGTCAATACTTAAAAACTAGATTTATAAAGAGAGAAAATGAGAGTGCATATTAACAAAAGTATTATTGATATTATAGAGAAAAACCATATTTATTATTATGTTAGTCTGCTGCAGTGTGTTTACAGTATTCTAAATCAGCGATCGACACGCTTTGAATTTGATTGATTCGAGTAAACTATAATTCAAAAGAGAATAATAAACATTGATTTTGGTTAAGTGATGAAAAACGTTAACAGTCTACCTATTATTATGTTTGCAAACGTTTGATCCCATATTGCAGTTTCCTTATTAATCATTTTTTTTTAGGTTCAGCTGCGTTTTTAAAATTGTTTGGCCCACCATATTACCAGTCAGATTTATTGTGCAATTCGATGAAAACTTTATGATATGG